CTGACTGAGGCAGCTTTGGGGACAGGACTGCAAGACTGAAGGCATGGCTTAATCTCCCTGACAAACAGCACACAAGCCAGCTGGCACTGCAGTTGAGCCAGGCTTTCATCTACTGACTTATTTTCTCTTGTTGTCGCTCAGGTGGACGGGATAGGATTGAGGGCTTCCTTTCTGCTGGGGTCCACACAGACTTCCATTGGCCATAGCCCAGCAAGGGTAATTGAGATCCAGATCTTATCTGGCCTGTGATCTGTATGCTGGCTGTTTAACTTTGCTTCTCTTAGCCACTACCTCCTGGTCTGTTTCAGCACCTGCCTCTCTGACCTCCAGAGGCCTGGGGGTGGGAGACTGAGTCAGAGAGTGGATGTGGGCAGAGGACAGTGGGGTGGTTATGAGCCGGGGGTTGGAGTCAGGGTGCAAGGCTGGACTCCTTCTGCCCTTATCAGCTATGATCTTTAGCAAGTCATTTTACCTTTCAATGCCTCTGTTTCCTGTTCTGTAATAGGGGATTAACAAAAATACCCTCCTCATAAGGGCTTAAAGAAGGTAACATATGCTAAGTGCTTAGCATATCTCCATTCTCAGCATTCAATGTGCATGAGCTATTTCTCATGCAAGGGATCATAATAAACAGATCTTTTCAGTGTAAATTGAAAAGTACAGGAGGAGAGTGAGAGGTAAAAAACTGTGCAGCATATTCATTCATTCCTGTCCCCTTCTGTCTAGCAGGCCCCTGGAGTCATCATCCCGAAGTAGAAAGAGAGTTTCTGTTGATTTGGCCAAATGGTGAATCCAGGGAGTTTTTCAAAATAATTTCTCATTAATCGGTCCTAGAGTAATCTGCAAGGACCCTTCTGGGTTTGTGAGCATGGTTCTCCCCCTTGTTAAATTGGTTTTCATTTTACATTCTCCTAACAGCTCTGGGCATGTTGCCCACTCCTTACTTCTGTTGACAAAGACCCTGGACCCCACTGTGTGGGAAGGGAGGTGATTGTGGCGACAGGAAAAGGTCAGGGGCTACTTGTTTCTGTGAAAAACGTTCTGTCATTTTCCTAATTTGAAAGGACTAATTGTCCATTGGGCTCCAGACTTTGGGTTCTGTGAAACTCAAAATTAATGCATTAAATTAATTTTGTGCTCCCCTTGCTCAGGCTGATTAGCACAAATTAAATTTCACACTAATTGGCTAAGGCAGAAAGAACACAGTCCAAGTGCTTGGGATGAATGCTCATTTCAGGGATGGGGTGTTGGTAGTTAGGGGTGTGATCCAGGGCATCCCTGGATTGCACCTGCCTGTGTGTGTGGACATTGCAAATCGTCACTCTTTCAGTTGGAGTGACTTTGCATATCCATAAGCAAATCTAACCCATCCAAAGCCAAGCAGGAGGTCAAAATTAGGAGGACACCCTGACACTGTCTGAGGCAGTAATTCTTAAACTTCGTTGTGCATATGAATCACCATGGAACATGTTGAAATGCAGATTTCTGGGTTCTGTCATAGAGATTCTGATTTGGGAAATCTGAGGGGCCTGGACTTTACATTCGAACAACCATCCCATGTCATTGCAATGCAGGTACTGGCCCAGCACCCTTTAAAGACAACAGTGTAAGAAAAGCAAGAAGAAACTCCAACTCAAAGACAACTGGGAACACCCTGGGAGAGTCAGTCCCTGACTCACTAACTGGTGGCCTTTACTTGGATCTGAGAGATCTGGGTTCAAATCTTAGCTCTGCCACCTACTTGCTATGTGACTTCAGAATGCTTCTCCCAAGCCTCCTTTTTTCTCCATTTCTGTAGAAATCTGCATTTTGGTCTGAGCAGTTGCTGATGTGGTCAACAAAGTGGAAGCAGATAGGCTGGAGGGAGGAAAATCATAGGGAGCATAGACTGTACAGAACAGCCCCAGTTTTTATAGTACAACTATTTTTGATTCTTTTGAAAGATATTTGTTTTCTGATTACAAACGTGGTTAAAAAAAAGAAAAGAAAAATCAACAATACAGAAATGCATCACAAGGAAATTGGAGTCCCTTGCAAGCCCACCCTTCCAGGGGGAAAAAAAAAATCCCTGTCAACAGTTTGAGATTGCTTTGTTCTGTGCAAGTGCAAACAAAAATGGGATCATTCCCAGCATTCTACTTTGCAACTTTGCAACTTTGGCAATGCATCTTAGGAATTATTTTCATGTCAGAAAATATAGATCTGCGTCCTCCTTTACGGGTAGCTGAACGATTTTTGAGTAGGCTTGTGAGCTGACATTATCGATGGAGACCAGCTTGGAAGGGCAGAGGTATTTGATGCTATGAGGACCGTTTAGCTTCTTTATGAAAACATCTCCCAGTTGCCCCTAAGTACCAGTCCCGATACAGAGGGTCTGATGGGAAAGTGAGGGGTTTTGACATTTTCCTATGCAATATTTACAGTAGAATCAGAATGCCAGGAGGACATTAGACCTCACCCAATTCAATGCATTTTACAGCTCAGGTGACCAAGGTCCCGGATAGAAAGAGGTCACACAACATGTTAGTTGTTGAGTCTGGACTTGAACCTTGTATTCTGCTTTGTTTTTGTTCCTGCCTCTTGACTTCAGCTGCTGTCTCCCACAAGAGGAAATCTCAGTTTTGTGAGCTCCTCCTTCATGCAAAGTTGTTTCTGAGCCTCTTGGCCATAAACACGCCATTAGTATGTTTCACTCCTTTTTTTGACATATCCTCCTTGGAGGCTGCATTATGGAACAATAATACCAAAGAAGCTTTTTTTTTCTTTCTGTCTTTTTTTTTTTTTTTTGCCATTTGGCATCTGTAGTTGGTTAGCTAATTGGGGGGGAAAAATGTCAGTGCAAGGGAAAATTCTTTAAAAATAACGTTTTTCTTTATAACTTAAAACACGTATACCTTAACCCACTCTATTTCTGAGGTAGGACCATATGCTTTTGAATATGAGCTTCTGACGCAAGTTCCACTTCTTTCTTTCTCAAGCCACACCCCTAATATAATATATTATAATTAATAATCATAGCATATGATTTCCAGTTTTGACTTTTTAAAAGCAGAGCAAATGGCAAAGTAATTTGAATGAAGAAAGCTAAATTT